CATATTGATGCACGTGTGTAATTCCCAGTAACTCTAACCTAGGAACCATATATTCAGTTTAGGGAGCTGTAAGAGATGTTTTCACACCCGAAGCAAGATGGAGGTTGCTGTGTTCATTCAAGCATGAAATGCTGGCTGAGAGATTAAGCCTCTTACACAGATCCCAGTGCCATTAAATGCCAGCGAGGACCGTGTAAGCCACATCTCCGAGTGGAGGAGAGCTTCCTTTTGTCAGGTGTTCAAAATTAGGAATGTAAACAGCTCTCATGGAGTAATTAGTGTGCTTGAATTGGGAGAAAGTGATAAAAATAATGACACGACAGAGCTCCTAGCGATGTCATACGGCTGTATCTTATAGCCTAACAAAGCTGTGTCCGCTCCGCTGGGTGGATGGGGGCAAGGGTTTCACAGGTGGCTAGTTTGGGTCATAGAGCAGAAGTTGCATGGGAGGAGAAGTCCCGTTGCAGGAGGTCACTAACAGCTTTTGGAAAAAATCCTCTTGCTCATAGGAGGAATGGCACTTTTTGACGTTTCATGGTAAAAACTGCAATTTGTTGTAATTCCACAATGCACACAAATGTCCTCCAGAAACCCAGCTTTGCTGTCAGCAGAAATTCATGGGTACAGTGGTGTGAGAGTCCTCACCATTTGCTCTTTTTTTGCCCATCCCTAATTTCTAAATGGTTGCTTTAGTGAAGCCATGGCTGCATGATCCCCATGTAGTCCGTTGCTGCCATCTTTGACAGTGACTCAAGTAAAGCTGTTTCTAGCCATACGCAAGGCTGTTTGCCCCTGTTGGTGTCTTGCTAAACAGGGGAAATTAAATAAATAAAATCTCCACCACTGGTGTTAATTAGTGCCTTTGGCAGCCTGAGCAGGGGCTTGTGAATTGAATGTGTCGTGGAGAATTGAATGTGTCATGGAGAATTGAACGTGTCAACTCTCTTCCAGTGGTTGGGACCTTGAGGTCTTTTTCTGGCTCTAAATTTCCTTTGGAAAAAGGAAAAAAAAGAGAGAGAAAACAAGCTGAAATAAGAGATCTTTTCCCTTTTTTTTTTAATGAGGTGTTGAAGTTGAGCATTGTAGTGTACACACTGTTGCGTTTTCTCGTTGGATGCTTGGAGAAGTAGGGCTGGTTTCTGCCTTTGTTTCTCAGGCATCCCATTTGTTGCTATCAGACGCTGTGCAGTGCGGAGTGGCAGGTTTTATTCAGCCTGTTCAAGCATCTGGCAGGATAGCCATGGAGTCGTTGCTGACATCCTTAAGGGACTGTAGGGATCCGCATGATTCATTCAGTATTTTTCCTAGGTACAAAGAAGAAATGTCATACGCTGTAGTAAATACGGTTCCAAGTAGAGCACAACCAGCGTACCAAAAGGCAGGAGGTTTGCTGCTTTGGAGGCCCTGATTGGCAGCACAAGCTCCTGTTCCTTTGCTCGAGAAGATACTAGCCCACATGGAGTTAAACTGGGCTGTATTTCAGTCTGTTGAGGATAGGCAGAACCGTGTCCACAAACCAATTCGCCTTTTAAGTTGTCCTGAATAGGAGGGGAGAAGGTTATCACTGTCAGGCTTTGAGTTATTTTGGTGTCAGAAAAGTTTAGTTGTGGTTCAAGCTGCTGTCAAGTTTGTTGGTGATGAAGCCAAGATTATGTGTGCAGGGGGCTGGAGAGAGGAGGGTTGGGTTTTTTTCCTTTTCTTTTAGTAGGAAATGTACTTTTTCTTTTCCAGCAGTGTCACTGATTTGTCTTTGGCAGTATTACATTTTCTTAGGGAAAATGGAGGAAGGAAAGTTGTTTCCTAGTTGTCTTTCAGCAGGGGCCAGCTACAGTCCTAAAGCACAAATTAGCCTCTTACACAGGTGTCTTCATTTCCAAAATTTCTGCAGAAAGGGCTGAATTTGGTACTGTCTCCTATGGGATGTGGTACTGAGCTGAAGGGATTTTACACTGGAGGCATCTTCAAAGCCAGCCCATTGGAGCTGCAGCGGTTTGCGTAACTTGGCAGTGAGCACCTCTAGAAAGTCCATAGGCTGAGATATAGAGTTTCCTTCCGGACCATGTGCCTTTTTGCTTTTTCTGTTCTCCTGTGTTTTCTTATTTTCTTTTTTCTTTAGTGCAGCCCTGACCTCTTTAGCAGATAGCTTCAGAATCAGGTGTCCACAACTGGTGCCCATGCTCTCCTCAAACCACAGCAAAACATCTCCTGTTTTGTTGTGGTTTTTAAAGAAGATATGAGCAAAATGAGCCTGGAGAAAGATTTTATCCATGTGCATTTTCAGATGTGTTGATCTGTGAACATAGAAGGCTCCATTTTTGTCAGGGTCCAATGACCTGCCTGAAACATCTGCACGTTTCCCATTATGCTATTTTCTCCCAGTCCTCATTCACAGAGACATTTTTCTCTCCTGTGCTTTTAATTCCTAAAAATGACTGGTTAAAGGGTGTTTCACAGCATATTTATCTTTCAAGTGCAGTTCTTTCAAGTAGTGCCAAGACTGATAAACCAATAGATTTCAAACTACTGCTTATTGGAATAAGCCCGCAGAGCTGAAATCTAAATTGAAACTCTTTGGACCCATGGTAAAGGACATAGCAATTGCAAAGTCATGACTACTGCTTGATATTTTCCCCTCTGAATCCTCTCTCCTGGTTAAAAAGCTTTATATTAAAAAGCTAACAAACCAAATGGAGAGACAATAGTAGAAGATAGACTTTGGAGCTGGCTGGCAGGATAGAAAAACATCACAATACTTTCTCAAAGTCACACTATTAAATGTCACAAACTCGGATTTGTTTCCCATTTTAATTCCGGAGTAAAATAATTTAAACTTTCAGAATTTGCTAGTGAAATAGAAGAGTTAGAAACATTCACAGGAAGCACAAACCTTAACAGGCTGTGGCTGTCTGTCACCCTGCTGAACAATGTTTGGCTCACTGAAATAATTATTAAACCATCTCTATCATAAACTGGGAAATTTTAAGGAACCTGTTGGCAGTATGAAAAGTGTTTCTCCCAGCTGCATTACATCTGCATTACCTGCCTGCCCGTGTATTGTAATGCCTGCAAGTGCTTTTCTGCGTTAGGGATAAACTCACTGTATTCCAGCTGGGAATACATGATTACCTTTGCTTGTTATAAAGGTAATGGTTGTCGCTGGCCTGGCTGCAAAGCCGGAGGGAGCATTCACAGTGCAATGCACAGCCTGAGCCAAGCAAGAGGCAGCGGAGGGAGAGTTCTGGATTCAGCCCTTCCTTCCAAGGTGTGGTATGGACCACCTCCACACGGTTACTTAAAATGTGGTAGCTGTGTTCTCCTGTGCACGCTTTCTCCTAGGTCTCCTTTGCTGTTACGGGGATGCTGTGAGGTTGAACAAACTCAGGCATATCAGGTGGGACGTGATGTTTCACCTTGGTCAACATTAGGGAGCCGGTGCAAGCAACAGCTTTGCTCACTGCCCGAAGGACAAATTATTTTATCTGTGTCATGCTCCAAGGGAACACCGAGGCTCGAGAGCCGGGGTTTCTTCTATTTACTGTTTGGTTTTGACATTTCTCTGGAGTTGTAACAAATCTCTGTCTGTGATTAAGAGAGCGGCATTGTTTTCTGATTCATCAGTAAAATCTGCACCATGTTGTTTGACACGAAGTAGATTTTTGCTTCAGTAGCCACTTCTGCCTCCCAGCCAGCATTACCCAGCATGTTTTCCCTCTCCCTATAGGAGCTGGGTCACCGAGCGCCCCATCTGCAGCCACAGAGCTCTATAGGAGTTTTGAGGTCTCTTCTTAACGTGGCATGGCTCCAAAGCAGGGGCTGCCCACGTCCACAGGACAAGGACTGAATTCAGCCTCACCCTATTTCCCCTATGGACAGAGTAGCAACAGATTAGGGGCTAAGGGTGTGCCTACATCACTGATTTACTGTGCTGGGTGGGAGCTATTTAAGTGTGAATTTTCCTTGTGTCTATACCTGCAATCTTGTGTTATGCACATAAGTGCACAAGTGATGCTCTCAAGGTGGTTTCCCTCCCGCTGGAAGTAAGGTTGAAGTCACAAGCTGGGATATTGTGTAGAGCATCCCACCTGCAACATGGATGCAAGGTCCTCCCACAGTAAGCTCTCCGCACGTGCCCCGTGCATCCCTGGGAGCAGACTTCATTACTGTGGGACATTACAGATTGCAGCAAGTCAAATCTTGGTCCTTGTTTCTTTGTCCTATGCCTATCATGTTATAGCTGTCCCCTGCAGATCTACCTGTCAGCCCTGACCTCACTCTGGGGCAGGTGTTGAGCTGCCTGGCGCGCGTGTGCTGTGGGAAGGGTTACCTTCCATGTCTGGTCCCACGGACCGCTTAGTTGCACCATGCTGCCAAAGGGGTAAACAAGGGATTAAAGTGACTAAAACTGTCTGCTTTACTGAAGGTTAGACGGATGCAGCCTCAGTGCTGCCAACCATCAGCAGCCTCCATTATCCCACCACTGGTGAATTCTCCTGTGGCTTATCTTCCTTCCTGCAACTGAGATGAGTGTCCTACCTCCAGTCCTACCTGCTTTCAAATGGTGGGGACCAAACCTTAGCTCTTACATATAAGGCCCTTTAAATAAGGTCCTGCTTTAACCTGATTTTCTGCCTGGGATGCAACAATGAATTCCTGCTGCTTGAGCTTGCCATGTTGCTTATATTAAAAGTATAATGGGGAGCCTTCAGAAAAATACAACCTTATTTACTGTACAAAGCCAATTGGATTTTGGTTAACTTAATTTCTAAGTGATTACAGTTCACTAACAATGTAGGTGTGCTATAGATGCAATGCACAGGGGGTGACTTTTTATTTTAAACTATACAAGCTTCCTTTTATTCATGTCACTCAGGAAGCCTCACGATAATTCACATTTCCAGCTTTCATAATATGTTGTTCAACCACTGTTTTTTCTCTTTCCCTATTGTACTCTCACAAATCATACTCACTAATTTCTGAAAGCTTTTCATTTCTCTCTATAGGTTGTTGTTTCGTAACATTTTATACAAGAAAAGCTGCTCTTGAGGCACAGAATGCACTGCACAATATTAAAACTTTACCTGGGGTGAGTACATTTACTTTTTGATCCTAATTATTTTATCACCAGAAAAATAGCCCTTTTGTTCAAAATGCTGTTTGGTGCCCCAAGTGACCTTGATCTCTTCAAGGGAGGGTGGCTAACCTGATGGTCTGTCCTGTAACGGTGCCAGTCCTGTAGCAATGGCATCATCTCAAAAGGCAGTTGCTCTTCTGTAGAAAGTCCCTTGGCTGGAAACAGTGCTGATTCCTGCTGACTAGAGGCAGTTACTGAAGTGCAAGGTAGATTCAATTTTTTTTTTGTTTAAGGGGGAGGAAGGAAAAACATATGGCAGGAAAACACTGTACCACTGGGGCTTCTAGTTTGAAAAGGGAGAGAAGAGGAAAAGACAAAATACAGCCAGCTTTGTTAAATGCAGCCTTTAACCACATGGTTTCTAAACAGCCTGACTGTGTTGGTGTGGTGGCTGCACATCAGGGTACCGTAGAGCGTGGTACCATGTAGCGGCTTGCACAGTGTCACCCTGTTCCCTGCCACCACCTCTCCTTGGCAATCTATTCTCCCTGATACATCACACTAGTGGTCAAAACAGTTGTGGTTGTGCTGTACAAACTGTAACTTGCGTTATCCTACGGTAGTTCAGATAGAGAGAAGTATATCACTGGTAATTGCATGACTTAACTCTCAAATCTGGAGCAGAGGAAGAGTGTGAGGAGTCCTCCCCCTGAGGAGGAAGGAGCGGCAGAGGCAACATGTGATGAACTGACCGCAACCCCCATTCCCCGTCCCCCTGTGCTGCTGGGGGGAAGGAGGTAGAGAATTCAGGAGTAAAGTTAAACCTGGGAAGAAGGGAGGGGTGGTGGGAAGGTGTTACAAGATTTAGGTTTTTTCTCATTACCCTACTACGATTTGATTGGTAGTAAATTAAACTAATTTCCCCAAGTCAAGTCTGTTTTGCCCATGACAGTAATTGCTGAGTGATCTCCCTGTCCTTATCTCGACCCATGAGCCTTTCGTTATATTTTCTTTCCCCTGTCCAGCTGAGGAGTGGGAGTGATAGAGCAGCTTTGGTGGGTCCCTGGGGCCCAGCCAGGGTCAACCCACCACACTGCTGAACATAGCCAAATACTTTGGGAATGGGAAAGGAAAAATATAAAGGATGGAGGTATATTCCCTCTTGATGTAGAGGAAGTGTTCAAGTATATGGTTGCAGTGTATGGTTACAGACACAAAAATAAATAAATGTATACAACACTGTATAAATAAATAGGATATTGACTGGACTGACAGTTATATGGCAAATATCTCCTTTAGTTCCTACGTGGTGTATGTGAAATTGGACACTATGTGTTTGAAAAGTTCACATCTGGCCAGCTCACTTTATGCAACTCCCGTTAGGAAAGCCACCTCATCTGTCATGGAAATGGCCAACATAGAGAAGTATGTCAGATAGTTACCCATGAGTCCTGCTAATTCACCAAGGTAAAATGGGAGTCCTCTGTCATTTGCAAGTGAAAATGCTGGAAGGAGTGGTAGAAAATCTGCAGCGGTAGACCAGCTACAGGAAAATAAAAGAAAAATTGTGGCACTTCAGATTCAGGTGACATTTTCCAGCAACTAGCCCTTGCAAGGGACAATGTCAAGACTTTACAAGCCTCCCAATGGCAGGCTCGGTTTTTGAGGGTGTAGAGGGTTGGATGTGCCATCCTCAGAGAGAAAGGAAGGCTCTGAGGGAGAATTCCCTTTGAGACCCCTTCAGAGCTCAGGTTGAATCTCAGCATCCTCTGGCTGTGCAACCCCAGTTGTTGGTTTCTATCCCCACTGCCAGAAAATGCTGAGCCCTTGGATGAATGCTCTCTAACCCAATTCAGCTAATGTTGCACTTAACCCAATTCATTGTGTAATTGCTCTCCAACATGCTTTGAGTCAAGCGGCTGTTCTGACTGGATGGGTAGGATGGACACTCCAGCGGAGGTGGTCCTGAGCTGCTGGAGCAGCACCCTGCCCAGCCAGCATCCCTGGGTCCAGGTAGGGTGGAGCTGAAGCTATACCATAAGATCTATACATCCCTCCTCTCAGAAGCAGAGAGAGTCCTTTTGTTTGCTTCTCTGTTCTTTCCTGAGCCCCACGAGCTGGCTGCTGTGTTTTGAGAGATCTTCGTTATCCCAGCGGGTGACTCAGAGGGGCAGGCTCCTTACCTGACCTCCCCAGGTACGGGTGACAAAGCTGGCTCAGCTCTACATCGCATCTTACTTGAACAGGGCATCGTTTCTTCTCCACTTTTTTACAGCTAACGAGCATGCAGCAGTTACAGAGACTACTGTAGCTTTTGATCTTTTTTTAAATAAAGCTCAAAAATATAATATTTTTTTCTAATGTTACCTCTAGCTCTTTGTTGTTTAAAATTTATCTTTTCAAGCTGTGTTTTTCTGTCCTGACTCTGAGTTTACAAACTTTTCTTTTAAGGAAATGTGAAAATTACATTCTCATGACTCTGGGGCTTGGGCTTTAAAAATACTCCTGATACTTCCAGAGATGTTAAGATTTTACTTTGAGATAAGTTGTTATACCTACTTCTTAAATGGACACCTCTAATAAAGAGAAGCGACTCAAATACAGATTCGTTACTTCTCTTTGAGAACAACTCAGCATATATTATATAACAGATTCTATATTTTGCACATGCTGTGTGCTGACATTCAGCATATATGGTGATACTGTTATGCTGCATCTGTGTATTCCCAAAATAACTTCATTTAAGCACACTTTAAAGTTGTGGCACACATGCTGAAAACACTTCACATTAGCAGGATTCTCCCTATATGAATTTTAGACATTTTCATGTTGTTAGCTCTGGCCCACTAAGCAGCTTTCACCGAACGAGCAGGGAATCGGTAGTGTATAGATCCGTGTGCGAAACAGTCTCAGAGCAAATGGAAGCAATCTTCTGGCAGAGTTACAAGAAGGGATGAATTTGGATCAGGTTCATCTGGGCATCAAGTGTCAGCTTGCTTCCAGTAAATGAGATATGGTATGTAGGAGGTTCAGTAATAAGGTGTCTCCTGGAAACAAAAGAATCTGTGCCTTCCACTTTTACTGTAATACCACCATGTCTCAGATAAGAGGCATCCTTAAATAGCCCAGGAAGAAAATCCGAGGCAAAGGCAGGTGATTTGTTAGTGTAAGGCAAGGAATGAGGGCAGATGCAGGAACAGGGGCCTGCAGGGATGCTGCGGTGGTTGGAACTCGCCTGCGTTTTACCTGTGCACAGGTATAACCCGCAGTGCTGCAGAAGCGTGGAGAGGAATACCTCTGTGTTCATTAAATGATAGAGGCCAGATTATTTCTGGGTTTAGTCTCTTCATTTCTTAAATACAGACCTGTTCCACGTGGCTTGGTAAGCAGGTTTTGGATCAGCACCGGTGAAGCCAAAAAAGTGGGGGTTTAGTGTGAAATTTATCCCCCTTCCAAGACTGCATGTTCAGTTTAATTTAGGTTGGTATTTGAGCAAAGCCTGCAGTGCTCTGTTTCTATATCTACTTTTTGCATGGACCTCATCCTTAACAGAGACATGAAAACAGGAGCGCTTTATCTGCTCCTTTGAGCTGCACCCTTTTAGTGGACATGAAGAAAATGAGACCAGACATAAATGATTAATGCAGAATCTTGGAAGAAAATATTGTAGGGTGCCTTGCTGTTTGATTACAAGCCTTGGAATTAGTCAACATTTCCATAATTCTAAACCAATATACACCTGTTTTCCCACTGTGATGTGAAGGCACAACTTAATTTAACAGAAACCCCACTGTGCTAAATCTCTCATTAAATACCAAGCTAGTTCTGTAATTTAAAGTTGCAGCACCACTATTTTAACTGAATTGCCTTTGTATTATAAAATTAATAAGAAGTTAATGACGCACTTTGCTGTATTCTCTCAGATTTTTTTTCAACCACTATTTACTGAATTGCCTTTGTATTATAAAATTAATAAGAAGTTAATGACGCACTTTGCTGTATTCTCTCAGATTTTTTTTCACAGCAACAACAACAAAAAAGAAAGATAAAGAAGAAAAACATGTCACCAGCTGACATCTCAAGGCTTTTCTGGTTTTAATCATTTTCCTGAGGATAAATTAATTTAAAAGATTTTTTTAAATTTTTAAAAACTTTCAGCATAAGTAGGATCAAACATCATCTTTTTACTCATGATTAGTATAATCTCTCTGTTAGTCATAATATTCCTTGTCATATAATGGAGCTTTTATCTTTCCCCCAAAATGTATTTAGATATCACTTGTTATGGTAGGATTGCTACTAGGCAATCCTATAGCCTATAGCAAAAGAAGCTATACAGTGTTTGAGAAATACAGGCATATCGATATATGTGATACATATCAATGAAATAGGGACAGTTCTCTTCTGTTTACTTGGTGCTGGCATCACAAGTAGCTTTTATGTCTTGTAAATGAACAACATGAATTTCCAGATGTGTCTTTTCAAATATAACATGCAAGCACATAGCTCATATCCTAGCTCATAGGGATGTGGTTTGTATTATTCAACTTACAGTCAGGTTTTCTTGGAACACTGGTTTGGATTTTGTTTTAAAAGGCAGAAGGGAGAAAAGAGAAAACCTCAGTTTGAATGTAATAATGATCTCAGAAATGTGCTGCTTTGGGATGAGATGTAGAATGGAGGCCTTAACTAGTCTCATCTTCATTAAGAATCTCATGGCTTTGTCAGAGGTGTTTAACTTCTATTCCCTAAACAAAATAATCCAATAAATTCCTCCCATCTAAATTTATTCTGTACCTTCAGGTAGATGTAATAATCTTAGTCCCCCTGTGCTCTCACTTGCTGCTTAGTGAAAACTGGCATATTTGCTGCTTAGTGAAAACTGGCATCTGTATAGAGGGCAAACCTCAAAGAGCTGTATGCAGGGACTGCTTTAGCTGCCTTTGTGGCACTGACATTTTTTGTTTGTTTTAGTTTTAACATGCATTAGTTTAAAAACAGAATGTGCTCTG